CTTCATATCCATGTATGTTCAACATTCATATCCTTGTATGTTTCAACATCTTTGAGATCCATTCTCCATCAATTTTGATAAATTTCATCTTCCGCATAGTGGAATCATTAATATTATTGGAGGCCTTTGGAGTTTCCACATATTCTCCTACAAGATCTACTTCAAAGTATCTAAAAAATTGATTAATCAACATAGCATATGGCAGTTTATAATCAACCAATCTTTTTGCTTTTATCATGTGATCCTTGATAAAAAAATCCAGTTTACACGAATACTATTTTCAATGCAATACGTGAGAGCTAAGTCACCCTCATTGAGTAAAGCATGATTACTCCCCCTTGGAGTAAGCATCCAGGCAATGATGAAGGCAATAATTCTTTGTTCAAGCTCCATCTTCCAAGCGTTAAGAGTTCTTATAGAATCATTTTGATTTTTGAGACAACTGCGGAAAAATTGAATTTTGTTAAAATCAGGTAACTTTGCAATGTTACCTCTGGATACATTTAGGCCAACATCATGAAGACCAGCCACTTCTTCCCACACCTCAGGAGTCATTACCAAATTTATACCTTTGACTTGAGACCTTAAAGTGGAGCCGCTAACTGTGAGGTTGGCATAGAAGACCCTCACAAGATCATGTTGGATGTTACCGGTGTGCTCCAGAAAAGTCTTTAACTTTTGTCTTTTCAATTTTCTTCTTAGTGAGGTAAATCCTTCTTCATCTAACCAAGCAAACTTAATGTATTTAGGAATCACCAGTTGCTTTTGGCTAAAGTTTGAAATGAAGTTGTTCATCTTGTCAATGTCTCCATTGAACCATGCTTCAAGGTGTCCACCAGCGTTGCCAGCAGCAGAGGAAGATTCCCCCTTATGTTTCTTCCTTGATTATGATCTTTTAAACATCTTTTAGCAGAGATTTGAGAAGGAATTTGATTGATACAGTATATGAGAGCGAGAGAAGAAAAAAGAGGAGAAGAGGAGAAACTGAAAATGCAGAACCTGATTTTTCTTTGATGAATAGAAGTTTGGATTCCAAATTTTTGAAGTCCGAATGACAGACCTACAATTTTCAGTCTTAATTGGTCGTGTTCCCTTGACTGAGTACAAAATCACATGCTTTGGACAATGGGTACATCAGCTAAAGTGTTCTTGGATAAACATTGACATAGTCAAACAATACAATAAATGTTTTTCATAGATTTTGATTATCAATGAATCTTTGAAAATCAGATCTTGATTTGCATGAAATTCTTCAATTAACCATATTTAAAATAGTTTTTAAGAACAAAGTAATCGATTAACCAACAATTTAATCAATTAATTTGATCTAGAATATTAGGTTTGAAATAGCAACAATGTAATAATCGATTAAAACAGAAAAGAATCAATTAAATTTGTACTTGTATATGTTTAATGAAATTATTACAGAATTTTAATTGATTAAATCGAAAAAGAATCAATTAAATTTAACTTTTTAATGATTTTAACTGATGTGAATCCTTTTTAATCGATTAAAACAGAGATATGGAATATTAGTTGTAAACCTAAGAGGTTTTAATTGATTAATTCGATGAATAATCGATTAAAACTGTACAGACAACTTTTCAAAATTTCTCTTTAAGTGAATTTAATAGATTAAAATAGTTTTCTATCAATTAAAATGATCAATTCATGAAACCAGAACATATAATTGTTGATCAGGTACCAAAGGATCTCCAGATTTTGTTCTGCAAGGCAGATTTAGCATAATCTGGTACCCTTTTTATAATTATCGGGTCCAATCAAGTTATTTGAAATGAATTCCTGGGAACACACTTCATTCTTCCTTTTGGTATAGCATACTTCTTGATTCTACAAACTTTAACAGAATGACCTCTATCCATACAATAAAAGCATTTAATAACAGATGATGAGTATGATTTCCTATTAACAACAGTTTTTTTGGTTTTCTTACTAGATGTAAATCCAATGCCAGATTTGTCAAAAATAAGTTTTTTGTGACCCAAGAAGAACATCAAGATTAGCTTGACCTTGTGTAAATTTAGAAATAGTTTGTAACAAAAAAGTAATCTTCTTTTGTAAATCTTGGACAATTATTGCATGGTTTATTACATAAGCAATCAGAATTATCATGGATTAATTTTAAGTAATCAATATCAGTTTCATCTTCAAGAATTTTCTTTTCAAGAGAATCAACTCTATTTTCTAGCCAATTGTTCATACCTTTTAGCCTATCATTTTCTCTTTTAAGTTTCTTGGTTTCTTCATACATTTCATTAAATGCTTCTTGCAATGAGTTATAATTCACGAAATTAGAAGAAGAGTTAGAACTTACATTGCTGGTTTGATAATTCTGGTTAGCCATTAGACACAAGTTAGCTTCTTCATCATCATAATTTTCTGTTGATGAGGTATCATTGTCATCCCATGCTATATATGCTCTTCTTTTGATCTTTTCTTCTTTCTTGTCATTGTGTTTGTTCTTTTCTGGACACTCCATCCTTACATGACCCTGCTTTCCACAACCATAACACTTATAATTAAAAGAATCTGATTTCTTTCATACCTTTTGTGTTTTTCTTTATCTTGGATCTTTCTCTTGAGAAACTTGTTGAACTTTTTGACCAAAAGTCCAAGATTCTCACTTTCTTCTTCTAAATCTTGATCTTTCTCTTCATCTTTGAGCGCTATGCTTCTACCTTTCTTTTCATAGATTTCTTGCTCATTGAATTTGTTAATTTCCATCTCATGCTCTCTGAGTTTGCCAAATAAGGAGGTTGTTGTCATGATGGACAAGTCTTTTGACTCTGATATTGCTGTAACCTTAGGCTGTCATGACCTGTCAAGGCATTTCAAAATTTTTATATTTAATTCCTCTTTATCAAAAGTCTTACCTAAGCCCATTAGATGATTGATGATATGAGTAAAGCGTTTCTGCACATCTGCAATGCTTTCTCCGATTTGCATTTTAAACAACTCATATTCTCTGATGAGGGTATGCTTCCTGGCTCTTTTTACATGAGCAGTTCCCTCATGAGTAACCTCAAGAACCTCCCACATTTCCTTGCCAGATTTTCATTGAGAAATCCTAAAAAATTCATCCATATTTAGTGCAGAAGTAATTATGTTTTTAGCAATCATTTATGATTGCTTGATTGATTGCTCAAAGGTATACTTTAAAAGACTGAAGCAATCATGTTTATATAGAGATTTGTTCTAACTGCTGGTTTAATTAATCTGTTAAAAGTCTTGATTAATCTGTTAAAACCTCTTTTAATCTGTTAAAATGTTTTTGATTATTTTTCATATTTGTTTTAACTGATACGACAACATTTCAATCGATTAAAACACTTTGTAAAAAATCTCTTAAGTTGTTTTAATCGATTAATTCACAATTTAATCGATTAAAATTCTACCAAATATTTTCATAAAACTTTTTAGTTGATTTTAACTGATAACAACCAGTTTTAATCGATTAAAACAATTAGCAGAAATTTCCTTAAATTGTTTTAATCGATTAATTCGATTTTACATCTATTAAAATTCTGACAGAACACCTTCAAAATATTTCAAGTTATTTTAATCGATTAGTTCAAATTTACATCAATTAAAATACTGACAGACATCTTTCAAAACACTTCAAGTTATTTTAATCGATTGCTTCGAGTTTTTATCGATTAAAACACTGCCAAAACACTTTCCAAAACATTTTAAGTGATTTTAATCGATTATTTAGATATTATATCAGTTAAAACACTGGCAGAAGGTTTTCAAAAACTCCTTTAATGAAAATAATCGATTAATTCGAAAGTGTATCGATTGAAACAGTTCCAGTGAATGTTTTAAAAGGTTTTAATCGATTATTTCGAAAACCTATCAGTTAAAAATCTGTTATGTAAGTTTTAAGAACATTTTAACAATTTGTTAAAAACAATTTAACCGATTACTTTGGTTTTTAATGGATTTAAAACATCTTTAGAGGAATTTTCAAATTCTTTCAAATGATGAAACCTCATGCAGCAGAGAGATATGAATGATTATACCTATGTATAGATGCAGACTCACTAATCACTCTACCCTTTTAACCCAAGTAACCTTTGAATTCATCAGATTAGTCTTTGCTTCATCAAATCAACAAGATCTTCGTTTTATCAAATTATTCAATAAGATATTCATCACTTTTATTTATCTCTTGGAACAGATCTCTAAAGATTGCTTGAATAATTTCTCAAAAGTATGTTTGAAGCGAAGGTGGAAATTTTTTATATAGAGATATTTTTAACTAACTGATAGTATTAATCAATTAATTCAGTAACTTAATTTATTGAAACAACTTAATTGAAATGAATTTAACTTATGAAAAAACTTTTTTATTGATTAAAAGGTTCTCTCAATTTTTTTAGATGTTTTAAGCTGATAAAAACGTGGATTAATCGATTAAAAGAATTCTATATATTTTCTAAAGACGTTTTAACTCATAAAAATGAGGTTTAATTGATTAAAAGAATTCTAGATATTTTTCAAAGATGTTTTAATTATAAAAGCGAAATTTAATCGATTAATTCAAAAATGTATCAATTACAATTGCGACTTAAGAAGTTCTTTAGTTATTTAAGTGAAATTAATCAATTAATTAAAAAATGTATTAATTAAAACTACGACTTAAGAAGTTATTTAGCTATTTAAGTGAAATTAATTTATTAACTTGAAAATGTATCAATTAAAAACCTTTCGAAGAATATATTAACCGATTAAAATAATTTTTAACATATTAAAACTTTTTGAGGCACTTATACTTGAAAAAGAAACTCATGCTTAATAAAAGGATAAATGTTTATATCTATATAATGTAGACATACTAATAAACTACAATCCTACAACATCTTTTTTTAACTTCATCAAATCTTCTAGTAAATCTTCTAAGATTCTTCTCATAAGCTTCATCAAATTTTAGTTATGTCTATGTTAAATTTAGTTATGTCTAGAGTAAACAAAGAAGCCTAGCGGATAGCTTTACGGAACCCTTCCTCGTAATTGTCTAGTAACTTGTTCAACGTTACTTCAAGGGTCTTTCGAAACTTAGCAAAATGTTCCTCATTCAACTTAACTTCTTCCTACAAAAAGACTACATGATCTTTTACCTTTAATATCAAGAACTTGGGTAAGAAGAATCTCATTCTCTTTGACTTTGGTTGAGATGGCCTCCTCATGAAATTTAAGTTGAGAAGAAACCATGATCACTTGCATATGAGAATAACTTGTTTGAACCACAATAGTGCAACAATAGAAGAATATAATAGTTTCTAAGGGTTTTAAAAGTAACGTTTCGTCCGTTAACAATCCCAAAATATTTTAAATATTTAAAATCGATCAAGCATAAGTCATACACAATGTAACATCGATATATTTCAATAAAAGTAAAATAACATAAACTCGTCCAACCTCCATTCCTAAAGAATTTGGCCATCGTACATAAGGAATTTGTGTACATATCCGACCCATATTTATTAATATTTTAAATACTATAAATAAGATATTTCTTATTTATCTTTTATACGTTATTGTTTATATAATATCAATAATATAAATTTTATCCTATTATTTACACTATAATCTCGTAACTCTCTTGTCAAAATAATATTTTGAGTCACATGATGCCTTTTGTATGAGTCCTTTATTTATAGTATATCTCACACAATCTTTGCTGATTTTTATACTCCGATAAAAGCATTTTTATATTTTGAAATTTCATAAAAAAATTATCATTATTTATAAATTATATTATACATAAATTAAAATAATTAATATTTATTGACTATATTTAAAAATTAAAATATTTTATTAAATATTTTATTAATAATAAATAATGAGACTAAGAAATAATTAAATTTTAATAAAATATATAAAACTTTATGTGTATCTGTTTTATTCAAATTATGATACGTATGATAGGTAGATTTAAATGAGAATGTAAATAATCAATAAATATACAATAGATAAATAAATAAAAAAAGTTAATTAAAAATAAATAAATAAAAAATTTAATTAAAAATAATTAAAATAAAAAAGATAAATAAATAACTTTATATTTCTCGTATCTTATTTATTTTCTATATTTTCTAAAATTTACCCTCTGTCGTTTATCTTCTGTATCTTTTACTTCTACCAAAAACAAAGAAAGTGAAAGGGAACTTTATTCCGCAACAGCAACTTCTGTTTTTTTATGGTGGAAAGTACTGATGCTGTAGCTGTCCTGTCGACAGCGGGATAAGAGGCTTTCCAAATCCCAATCCTCGTCTGACTTTTCCTTTTTTTATGCATCTACTTCTTCTGTAAAATGGAGCATTGGGGTCCACATCAATTTATCATCGTGGATTTAAGACGTATTTAAGGATGTGCGTGGTAGAGTAGAGAAAGGAGAAAGGAGGGGAGTGAAAAATTATCGAACAATATAAGGAATACAGTATTAAAAGGGAGAAATATTAAAAAAAATGTTTGTCACTAAAAAATATTATTTTAATATAAATTTTATATAAAATAATTTAAAATGGATAAAATTATTTATTATATATTTTTAAAATTTTAAAATATATTATATATAATATTTGTGTTAAAATAATATTTTTAAATTGATTTCTAAGAATTTTTTTAAATGGCGGGAAGAAAGTACACTACATTTATTTTCTTAAATAAATATAAATAAAATCTAACAGAAAAACAAATAATTATGTATGGATTGTAGCTAATTATATTGGTTTTTTAATCAATAAATAAAATAATATTCATAATAATAAATAATATAAAAATAATTTATTTACATTTCTATTAAACTAAAAAAGTTTTATCTTTACTTGTTTTATTTATTTTTCTTCTTAAAATTATATATATATATATATATATATATTTTATATTTCACTTTACCTACTAAAACAAATGAAATTTAAGGATTTGAATTGTTATTGCTAAAAAAACAATACAAAAGATAATATAAAGGATTTAAATATATAGTTTGGATAAGTGAATTTGAATAAGTAGATTAAGTGGTTGAGATTGGTTGAAAAGAGGTTCATTTCTGACAATATTTTGATATATGACTGTTTTGATTTTTTTTTTTAATAATATTGTTAAGATCAATTATTATATATAAGGTTTTATTTTTTAAAAATATCTTGGTAGATTGATAGAGAAAAATATTATCAACACTCAATTTGATCCGAATAATTAAAATAATGTAAATAAAAATAAATAAAATAAAATAGAAAAATAAAATAAAACAATAATATAAGAAATAGAAAATTAATAAAAATATTTTAAAATATCTTCCTCAACCTCCTACTCTTCACTTTCTCAACAGTCATACCCCATTTTTTCTATATATTCCCCCTTTCTCTTTAATCTCTATAGGCCCATTACCTACTCTCCTATGATTTCTCCATATGTTATTCTTCCCTTTATATTCGCCCCCTTTATAAAATGGACTACAGAAAAAAAGACAAAGGATAAAAATAAATACGAAAGAAAGCAATGCAAATAAAGGAAAATTTCAAGATCTTATTTATCCCTCAAGGTAGCACTTTACACCAACCTAATTATTTCCCTGAATTACCTAATTATCTATAACAACCACCACAACAACCACTCTATCCACACCAAAAATGTGTCCATAATTTCAACCATCCCATCCATCATATAAAAGCTAAAACCAAAATAATCACCAATAATTTGTATAAGCTTCACATAATTATAATGAGTACGTTACAATTCCAGCAAATGACTGAGGCTAATATAAAATCTTGAAACTCAAATTCGGCAACTAACAAGTACCATAAACCAAAACCAATCTAGGAATTTTGACAAATTGCCTTCTCAAATTGTTGTTAATAAATAAAAAAATATAAGTTCTATAACATTTAAAATAGACAAGAAGGTTGAATGACCTATCTTGGTGGAGGACACATAATAAAATAAGATACAAACATTGGTTGCTCTATTTATTAAGAGAAAATATAAATTTCAATACCTCAAACTAAGGGTTATTTGCACTCAAAGAAAGGAGAGGATTTGGTGAAGGAAATACTATAGGTTTTTCATAAGATTAAAGTCAATATCCCTTAGATTAAAGACAATAAACAAATTCATAAATATGTTAAGGATCATTCTATTTTTGATGGAGGACCATCTATATAACAAACACAATAATCCCTTAACAAGATTTTTGGCTAAGAAGATAGAAGAAGAAGACTCTTCTACTTTGAATTAGGATGTTTTTTTCTTCTTTCTTCTTAGATTTGTAAAGATTGTGTAGGTGTACATTTTCTTTATATTGTTTTTAAGAATTTAGTAGAGGCACATGTGAGTTAGAATTGGGTATCCAAATGAGCCTTTATTCGATGACCAACTCAAACAAAGATAAGAGGAAATTCGTCTAAGTCATGGAGAATGACATATAAAGTATCAAGTCCAACATCACTTCGGAGAAGTGAAAATTAGGCTAAAATGTGGCACTAGGTACAGGGAATTTTTTCCACTCTATGCTTAAAGTCCCACATTACTTGTACAAGTGCAAGAGGGTTATGCATCTATAAATAAAGCCCCTTGCCTCTTGTAAACTCACCTTTGATTGAATGATTAATTGATTTGGATGACTGTTTGTCTTCTTGTTGTCTAAGGTCATACATGGGAGTAATCTTCTCCTAGTTCTCCACAAAAATATACATGGGAGTAATCTTCTCCTAGTTCTCCACAAAAAATACTTCCTCCGAAGAGGACATAACTGAGTTTCTTAAGAAACTTAAAAGTTTTAAGAGTATTTTTTTTTATCTTCCATTGCTTGGAGGAGAAGGTTCCATCAATTTTTCCCATTAATATCATTGACAATTGATTTTTGAAAATGTTGTCAGTCTCCTAGACACGGAATATTACACTATGTTTGAGAAAACTATGTTGAACATAGTGAGAAAACTACTATTTTAGGACAAGTCATGAGTTAATTATAAATTCACTCAAGGAAACAAGTTAGTAAGAAATGCAATACCTTAATTTGACCATTTTAGTTTGAGAAAGTTGGATTTGCTTAGCAAACACAAGGCAGTGAACCCTAGAATTAGCAAATATTTGTTTAACAAAAATGAGGCAATGTTAGCATTATATTAATTAAATATTAAAAAAGTATAAGTTCCATGGGTTTCTTTTAATTGATAAGAGCTTATATTAATCAATTAAAGTCACTTAACATTAATTTAATTAAAAAACCCAAGAATATTTTAATCCATAAAAATTTCTTTTATCAGATTAATTTTGAAACTCATTCATCAAAACTGATTAATATATTTTAATTAATGAAACCCATAACTTAATCGATTGAAAGTTGGGGACATATATAGATTTTGGATCTTAATGAAATTAATTGATTAAAATGATTTTTCAAAATCCAAGTGCTTTTCTTAGGAGGCATCCAATCAAGGCTTGATAAATCAAGGAAGAAATTTTTCTTACAATCACATACCCTAAACACAAACACAAGATAACAATGAGATGTTATTTGACTTCATCAAATAAAAATTATTCAATTTTTTCAAGATACTTCATCTTCATTACTTTTCTCTTTAATTCTTAATTCATTAAAGATTTGAATTTTTTTGTTTATATCATACCTTGACATTAACCTCATTACAACCTATTTTAAAGTTCTTTTGAATGTTAATTTTCATATGTTATAATTCATCTGATTAGAAATTCGTTAAGTTTGATTTATCTTATTTTAGAGATGTGATTTATGAGAAACACGTACCTAAACATTTGAGTAATTCAATGAATTTTATCCAAGTGAGATTTTTAATCTTAATTATGTTATGATGAATACTTTGTCAATTGTTATTTATTTAAATATTGATAGAATGCTTGTGTAAATATTAGTTATCAACTTGGTTTATTAATAACATGTATTTTCATCTTCTTTTATTATTTCAAAAATTGTGCTTGGAAGTGTAAAAGTTTAGGTGTGGAGTTATTTGTTGAAGAAATTTTATTTATGTTTTTATTTGTATACTCTTACTTATAATTATCTTATTTAATTATTTAATTACTTACTATTAACAAAGTTTAGAAAAATAGAATAAAATAAATCTTTAGTCAATTTATTAGTTAAAATGTACATGTGCTTCTAATTTGAAAAAAAAGGTATGTTAACAAAAAATTTGATTCAAGTGCTTCTAATTTTACATGTTTTGAATGTGGAATACAATGACATATCAGAATTGAATGTCCAAATAATCAAAACAAAGACAATACTATTGTCAGGAAATTTGAGAAAGGCAACAAAAACATAAGAGCCTACATAACCTAGCAAGATAATGATGAAACCTTTTCTAGTGTTTCTTCTAGGGAGGATGAGGAGGCTAACTTTTGTCTGATGTCTAGTTATGAGTCCTCTTTAAGTAAGGTAAGTATTGAACTTTCAGGGAATGAAAAATATTATAATCATTTTTTAAATGACTTTAATGAGATGCATGAAGGAGCGAATAAATTGGTCGTTTCCAACAGTAGACTTAAGGTTGAATAATTAGCTAGAAAATAGAGTCATAAAGAATAATTGAGTAATTCTAAAACTACTTTTGAAAACATGGAGAACATTTATAAAAATTCTTCTTATAGTTGTTCTAAAACATGTTAGCCAATTCAAAATGATTGTGAAAATTATGAATAATTGCGGAATAAGGTTCACTGTCTTATTAAAACTTTGGCTAACTTTTCTATGGGAAGAGTAAACCTTGAAGCTTTGTTGGGTTCACAAAACTGTTTTTGATAGAGTTGGAATTGGTTATAAACCTGTTTTTCAAAATAAAGTAAAAGAATACAAAAGTTTCTTTTCTTACATAAAACCGAGTGCTTCACTTTACATCACTTGTTTATATTATATGAGAAAAGACCATATTATTGTAGACTACAAAATTAGAAAATATGATGCTCCTAATGAAAAATAAAATGGATTCCAAAATGTGCAAAAGAGGAAGTTAACAATACTAGACCCAAATTAAAAAGGATACCATATCCTATTGTATAATTTGTTTTATAGGTGCATTTGAAAGTCAAGAAGCAATAAATAGTAGTTGTTCAAGGCATATGATGGATGATGTTGACAAGTTTTGTGAATTTGGAGTTGAAATAGAAGATTATGTCGCTTTTGGGGACAATAATAAAGTGAGAATTCTAGGTTATGGTGATATAGGGAATGGTTCCTTCATTACCATACAAAATGTGCTCTTAGTTGACAAATTAATACACAATCCACTGGGTATTAGTAAGTTGTATGACAAGGGTCATAAGGTGATGTTTGAACCTAATTATCAGCGATTAAAAAACTAACAAAGTAATGTTGGTTCGTAAATGTGTGGATATCATTTATATGCTTGATATTCATCATGCATCATCTAGTGTTGAGTTTTTGATAACTAAAGAGCAAGATAAATGGTTATGGCATAGAAGGATTGCTCACATTCATATGCATCATCTAAGTAAATTAATTTCTAAAGGCTAGGTAAATGGATTGCCAAAGTGTAAGTTTGAGAAGGACAAGATATGTGAAGCTTGTCAAAAGGGAAAGTAAGCTAAAATTTCTTTCAAATAGAAAATTTTTGGTTCTAACTATTAGACCCCTTCATTTGTTGCATATGTACTTGTTTGCACCTTCTAAAACCATAAGTCTTTGAGGAAATTATCATGCTCTTGTTATTGTATATGATTTCTCTAAATTTACTTGGACTTTATTCCATGTATCTAAAAATGATGTTTTCAATGATTTTAAGAAGTTTTTCCAAAATAAAAAAAGGTCTTGCATTAGTTCAATAAGGAGTGATCATGAGCGGGGGCTAGGTTTAGAATGAAAATTTTAACTTTTTTGTAAAAGGTATGGTAATAGCCACAATTTCTCTATACTTAGGACTCCACAATATAATGGAGTTGTCAAAAGAAAAATAGGTCTTTCGGGGAATTAGATAGAATTATGTTTAATGAAACTTTTTTCCTAAGTATTTTTGGGCTTGATATTGCTAATATTGCATGCTATATGTTAAATAAAGTGTTGATTAGGTCTATTATTAAGAAAACTCCTTAGGAGTTATATAAGGATAAAAAACCCAAACATAAGTCACCTTAGAGTTTTTGGATGAAAATGTTTTGTGTTAAATAATAGAAAAGAAAACCTTGATAAGTTTGATGCAAAAGTTGATGAAGGAATCTTCATAAGTTACTCATCAAATAGTAATGCATACATATTACAAGAGGCTTATGATTGTTGATGAATCTGTTCATGTTGTATTTGATGAATCAAATTAAGAATGACAAGTGCTACCTAAGAATGATTCAAGTGATGATGAATTGTTGGATGTCTTCACCAAATTAAACTTGAACAAATGAAGCAATCAAGTTGATTAAGATGAATATGCTACTGGTAAGGATCTCTTAAAGATCTTTCCAAAGAATAAAGAATTCCTAGAAATCCCTCACTTGAAAATGTAATTGGATAGATTAAAAAGAGAGTATCTATTAGAAATTCTAATGAAGGACCATCTAGGACACAAAACATTTGGTCCTTATCAAGCTCCAAAGACTCCAACAAAGAAATATGATCATAGAGGAGTATAGGTAGAAATTGGAACTATCCATGATCAGGGTTGGGATTAGAGAAGAACCACGAATAATAATTATTAGATTCCAAAGTACCCTTAACCTTGACATTAGGGATGTGGTTGAATTTTTTCCTTGTAATAATCTAAATGAATTAGTTCAACTTTGTGTTAGGGTAAAATAATAATTAAAAAGAAGATCTACCTATAGGAGAGACTACCCTACCACCTTTACTCCTGAGGAAGACTAAAAGAGGGAGGGACGACCCTCCCAAAACTAGGGATGAAAGGTCATTAGAAAAGGATAGAGAAAAATAAAAACAAAAGGAAAGAGAAGAAGAAAGATATATATATATATATATATATATATATATATATATATATATATATATATATATATATATATATATATATATATATATATATATATAAGAAACTTCCAAAGAAACTAAATAAGCTAGGATGAAGCTCACTCTTCACCTAGCCAAGTATGAGAGACTAAGAAACTGTTTTCTCTTTGAAAAATACAAAAGAGGGTGGAGTAGACAAAACTATGTTTATCGAAAGTGATATCAAACTAGTTCAAGTCTATGTAGATGATATAATTTTTGGTGATACTAATGATATTTTGTATGAAGATTTTGTTAAAGCAATGCAGGGTACATTTGAGATGTGATGGGTGAACTGACCTTTTTCTTAGGATTGCAAATGAAATAGTTTAAGAATGAGATTTTCCTAAGTTAATCAAAATACTATTGTACTTGCTCAAGAGGTTTAACATGGAAAACTATAAAGAGGCAACCACTCTCATGTCTACTAACTGCTATCTTGACTCAGATGAAAAAGGAACATTTGTTGATCCAACAAAATTCAAAGGTCTTATTGATTCCTTGCTCTACCTAACAACCAACAAATCTGACATTGTGTTTAGTGTTTGTATGTGTGCAAGTTACCATGCCAACCTAAAGGAATCAAACTTAAATCTTGAAAAAGGATACTAAAGTATTTGAAGAGAACTATCAATGTCGGCTTATGATATCTAGGTGATGCTCCTTCAAAACTAGTTGATTTTTCAAACTCTAAATTTTCACAATGTGAACAGGATAAAAAAAAGTACAAGTGGAACTTACCTTCAGAGTAGCCTAATATCTTGACACAACAAGAAGGAAGCTTGTGTGAATTTATCAACAACAAAAGAATAATATGTTGTTGTTGGGAGATATATTGCACAAATTCTATGCTTAAAACAATAATTACAAGATTTTGGGCTTCAACTAAAAAACATTTCAGTAGTATGTGACAACATTAACGTTATGAATCTAACTAAGAATCCAATACAACATTATAGAACTAAACATAGAAATTAGATATCACTTTCTTAGAGATCATGTGTCTAAGGGTAATTGTGAGATTATGTTTATTGAA